GGTGAGAGGTACAGGTCTAGTTTCACTCTTCTACATATGGATGTCCAGTTTTCCAAGCACCACTTATTGAAGAGGCAGTCCTTTCCCCAATGTATGCTTCTTTTGCCCGTGTCAAATATCAGTTGGCTGTAAGTATGTGGGTTTATTTCTGGGTTCTCTATTCTTTTCCATTGGTCCGTGTGTCTGTTTTTATGCCAGTACCATGCTGTTTTATTGTTAGCCTAGCTAATGGTTTGTCTACTTTATCTTCTCAAAAAACCAACTTTTTGTGTCATTGATCTTTTGTATTGTTTTTTGGATCCCTATTTCATTTAGTTCTGCTCTGCTCTTTATTTATGTCTACTAATTTTGGGATTGGATTGTTCTTGTTTTTCTAGTTCCTTGAGGTGTAGCATTAGGTTGTTTATTTGAAATCTTTCTCTTCTTTTGATGTAGGTGCTTACTGCAATAAACTTCCCTTTTTGTACTGCTTTTGTGGTATCTCACAGGTTTTAGTATGATATGTCTGTATTTTCATAAGTTTCAAGAAACTGTTCGATTTCCTGTTTAATTTCTTCTTGGACCCACAGGTTGTTCATGAGAATGTTGTTTATAAATTTCCATGTATTTGTATAGTTTCCAGAAGTTTTGTTTGTTATTGTTATTTTCTAGTTTTGTGGTCTGAAAAGATACTTGGAATGATTTAAATTTTTAAAAATTTTCTGAGACTTGATTTGTGACCTAATATGTGGTCTATCTTGGAGAATGTTCCACATGCTGATGAAAAGAATGTATATTCTGTAGTTGTTGGATGAAATGTTCTATACATGTCTGCCAGGTCCAATTGGTCTACGGTGTAGTTTAAATCCTGTGTTTCTCTGTTAATCTCTTGCCTAGATGAATCTGTCCAGTGGTGAGAGAGGTTGTTCGAGTCTCCTCCTATTATTGTATTGGGGTGTTTTTCTTTAGGACTAATGATGTTTGCTTTATATATCTGGGTGCTCCAATGTTGGGTGCATATATATTAACGACTGTTATGTCTTCTTGCTGGATATATCGCTTTATCATCATACAGTAGCCTTTGTCTCTTTATGGTTTTTGGTTTAAAGTCTATTTCATCTGATAAAAGAATAGCTACTCCTGCTTGTTTTTGATTTCCATTTGCATGGTGTATCTTTTTCCATCCCTTCAGTCTTAGTCTGTGTCTTTATAGGTGAGGTGAGTCTCTTGAATATAGCATAGTTGGGTCTAGCTTTTTAATCCAATCAGTCAATTGGTGACTGTCTTTTGAGTGGGAAATTTGGTCCATTTACATTTAGGGTTGTTGTTAAAGGTACTGTCTTTCTCCTGGCATTTTATCAATTTTCATTTGGGTGTTTTAAATATCTTTTGTTTCTTTCTTCCCCTTTTATTATTTGTCTTTAATGTGTGTTGTTTTTTTGAGATGGTAAGATTTAGTTTGTCTTTCTCATTTGCATTTTTTGTTCTACCAGTGGATTTTGTTCTTTCTTGTGTATTTGTGGTAGTTATTATCACTGTTCGGATTCTAGATGCAGGAATCACTTGAGGAATTCTCACAGGGCTGGTCATGTGGTTGTGAACTCTCATGTTTTTGTTCGTCTAGGAAATATACTTTTTCTCCTTTATTTCTGAAGGATAGCCTTGCTGGATATAGTGTTCTTGGCTGGCAGTTTTTTATTTTAGTATTTTGAATATATCATCCCATTCTCTTCTAGCCTGTAGAGCTTCTCTTGAGAAGTCTTCTGAGAACCTGATAGGAGCCACTTTGTAGGTGGTGACTTCACGCTTTTCTCTTGCTGCTTTTAGGATTCTCTCTTTGTCTCTGAGCTTTGCCAATTTGACTATAATGTTTCTTGGAGAGGATCTTTTTGGATTGAATCTGTTTGGGGATCTTTGAGCCTCCTGGATCTGACAGTCCATGTTTCTCCCTATTCCTTGGAGGTTTTCTGTTACTACTTTGTTGAATAGGTTTTCAATGCCTTTTGCTTTCTCCTCCCCTTCTGGAACACCCAGATTCAGATGTTTGTGTGCTTACGTTCTCCCTATTCCTTGGAGGTTTTCTGTTACTACTTTGTTGAATAGGTTTTCAATGCCTTTTCCCTTCTCCTCCCCTTCTGGAACACCCAGATTCAGATGTTTGTGTGCTTACATTTGTTTGCTAGCTCTTGTAGATTTTCTTCATTTTTTAAAATTCTTTTTTCATTTCTTCTGCCTGGATTATTTCAAAAAGACTATCTTCAAGATCAGAAATTCTTTCTTCAAGGCTTTCTTTGGGGCAGAGCATGGTGTTATAACACCAAGGTCATGAGTTCAGATCCCCACACTAGCCAGGTGCCAAAGAAAAATAAAGAAAAGAAAGAAATCTCTTCTGTTTGCTGCTTAAGCTCTCAGTTGTTTTTATTTCATTGAATGAATCCTTCTGTTTCAGGAGTTCTGCTACATTTTTTTTAAGGTATATTAATCTCTTTGTAAATTTCCTCCTCCATATCCTAGATATTTTCCCTCATTTCATTGTTATCTGAGTCTTCTCATATCTCACTGAGTTTTCTCAAGATTGTTGCTCAGAATTCCTTTTTAGACAACTCAAGGGCTTCCTGCTCTCTGGGGTCTCATACTTAAGAATTAGTGTATTCTTTTGGTAGTGTTACATTTTCTTGTTTTTTTGTATTTCTAGTAGAACATAGAACATTGATGTTGGGTAATCTGGTACAGCAGTTGCTTCTTCTATTATTCTGGATGGGATCTGAGGAGAAAGACTTCTTTTTCCAGTCTGTGCTGGTTGAGTCTCCTTGTGTCAATGCAGTCAAGTGGGTGGCAGGCCACCTGCACACTGGCTATAGTTGCTACTGTGGTAGCAAGCCACCCTTGTGGTGGCAGTGGCAGTGGCTGTGTTGGACCACCCACATGGAAGTGGTGTTTTTGGTGTGTGCCTGCCTTCTGTGCACCAAGGGTTCTGCCTGAAGCTCCTGCCTAGGACCATGGGCATGTGCCTGCCTTCTGCTGGGTGGTGGAGGCTGTCTGTGGCTCCTGCCTAGGATCCTGGGCATGCTCCTGACTTCTGCTGGGTGGTGGGGGCTCAGGATTTCATTTCTGAAGGCAAATAGGACTTGAGTTATACAACTTTTAAGGAACCTACTGTATTAAAATGATCTACATACACCAGTTGGAAGGCTGTACATTTTGAGAATAGTAAACCACTGGACAGAACTGTCATGAAACACACAGTCATAGTCACTAATTTATATGTGATTACTGTTACTAGATGATCATATGATTTACTATCCAAAATGGAGCAATTTGAGAACAGAAAGAGGCACTTACAAAATTATGCCAGGTGGGCTGGGCTGGCCGGTTAGCCCACTTGGGAGAGCACAGTATTGGTAACACCAGGGTCATGGGTCGGATCCCTGTACCAGCCAGCTGCAAAAAACAAAACAAAAAATACCCTTCTATACTCAACAAAAATAAATATAAATAAAATTGATAAAACAACAACAACAACAACAAAAATCCCCAAATTATGCCAGAATAATGGATGCTTACTAGGCAAACAGGGCTGTCACCCTCTTTAGTTACCATCTTTCACTATTTACACATGCAGAAAACTAGGTACTTATTCAGTTATGCAATTGACTTTATTAAGCAAATTAACAACAGAAGCAGTAGTCAGAATGAACAGGATACCATTCCAGTGTGGGCTCTATTTAAATTATATTGACCCTGAACAGTCATGCTAATACTTACCATCTCTGCTGAACAAAAAAAGAATGAGTCACTTTCTTTATCCACTTGCTTTTCTTTCCCCTTCAAGCCTGATCTATATTTAATCTTTAGTAAGACCACACCTATCACCATTTTAAGTTTAATCCTGATGGCTAAGAAACAATATACCCTTCTGTGTTAAGTGAAATAAAGCCATTCTTCAAATTTTCAGAGGCTTCTCCTCCAAAGGTACAGCTGCATGACACACCTTCTTTAATCAAGATTGACTTCTAGATCATTCACTTAATCAACACAGCAAAAACAAGTCACTAGCCACAAAACTTTATTGTAGGGATCAATACATATATCCTTGTAAAAATGTTTTGAGCCATTCACTTTGTAGTTACAAACACATTAGAATCTGTTTTACTGGTATATTTTTTATTTGTTCAGCAAGGTAAAGTAAAGATTACTGCAAAATCACAAATCAAGTCCAAAATGCCTGATTAAAAAAAAGCCCTTATAAAACGAGAGGATTAAACACTGCCAGCCCTACTGTGTCAACAAATATTTTACAATTCAAATCAAGAAGACAATCCCATATAAGTCCAACAAGGCAGATATTGGCAAGGAGAGGTGAAGCAATCTGTTATACAAAATGCAAAAAGAGTCAAAGATAAATTATAAAAAATAAAATTTTGGTCAGAAAACCATCACTACATAAAGCCGAATAAGGGTGTCTATTAGTTGTTTTCTTTTTTTTTTCCTTTTTGTCTTTTTTCGTGACCGGCAACGGATCGCAACCCTCAGT